AACAAACATTTGAGACCTTCCTCATTGGAACAAGTTCTGCTATCTCCTTCCACTTTCTTTGCAGCTCATCAACTGAGAATTCTGCGAACAGAATCAAAATTTTCAGCCAGTGTTTCTAAGTTTTAACTTATGCTGCACAAGATTAGCAACTTCCTCCCAATCGGAGACTGGTCTCTTGGCTTCAACAACTAGCATGCTTTCCCAATAATCTTTCCTCCTGATAATAGTGACAGTGGCGTTGGTTGTTCTGTGCACCATGGCTGGGATGTCCTGTATAAGGCCCAGAAAATCAGAGGGGGTGTCTGCTGCTTTGACTTCTTTAACCTCCTGATTTCCTATCTTCCAGTGGTTAAGAATAGCATTCAACTCTGCTGCAACCCTTTGCCATCCTTGACTCTTTTTACCCTCAGGAAAGCACACCATTTGTTTCTTCCCTTTGGCAAAAAACTCGGAAAGGGCAATGAAGGATCCTCTTGTATTTCTCTTGCACTCCAGTACATACCTTCTTCCTGTCAAAGTGAGATTTTCTTTCCAGCTTCGTTTCTTTCCCTTTGCCACAGCCTCAACCATAAAGTCCTTGAGCCATTCCACCATCTCTGAACCTTCTATCAAAACTGTTGCCAACTTCATTTCCCTTACCTTCAAACTGGGGCGCCCCTTGATTCTCATCTCCTCAAGCAGAAAGTTCTTAGCCTCCACTTTCAGAGATTTTTTCTATCTTGAGAATGTCACGAAGTTTACTTCTCTTCCAACCATGTTTACACCTCTGGCTTGTACTTTCTAATCAAATTTCTCACTGTAACCCTTCTTCTCCCCACCCTCAGCCCCTTCACATTCCAACTTAACAACCTCATTTTATCTCTCTTCTCCTTATTCCTCTACCTCACACCTTTCCAACTTCCTACTCTCCCTCTTCAGAGAGCTCTTCTCCACCTCCATCACTCCAACCCTTTTCACATCTGCGCCCCACAGCTCATCCCAACTGTGCATCAGGAACATCTCCCAATGACAATTTCGGGAAATGTTCCCAATGCATGCTGAGATGTGCATGTGGGGTGCCAATATGAACTCCTTCCCCTCAATCCTCTCCTTTCTATTCTTCTCCTCCCTTTTACTCTTTTCAAAATGCTCAAATGCAAACCTTGCAAATCCTTCCCCACCCTAAAAAAATAACCCAAGAGACTTACCCACTGCCACTAGGGCTGCAAACAGATCAAATCGAGTAGGAAATAAGGAGATCCAAATTTGATTCAAATCGGATCGTATCCATCAGATATATAGCGGATTTGAATCGGATATTTTAAATAGTATAAGTTAGGCTAAAAATGATAATGCTATATTTCATTAATAAAATGAACTAAAAATGACTAATATTACATTTTATGAACAAGATGCATTAAAAATTACTTGGATGAAACTTGAGACTGTGTCAATTTAGTGAAAATACACATTCAAACCAATGTTACTTATAGATATAGCATAAATTTTAAGTATATTTGAGCATATATATTGCTTAGTCAAATTGAATCAGATTATATCAGATCGGATAGGGGTGGATCCATATTTGATCCAATTATAGACAGATCAAATTCGGATCACCCTTAATAGGATTTGGATAGTTGAATACCATTTGCAGCCCTAATTTCCACTTCCCACCCCACTAATTTATCATTTTCCACCTCCCCTGTGTGGGTTGCCTTCAACCACTTCTTGTTCGCTGCCCCCTCTTTCCTATGTCTCCTCGGGTCCTCCCTTCCCTCCCTCTCCCCCTCCCCCTCCCCCTCCTCCCATCTCTTCCACCCTTTCCCCAACTTCTTCGGTAGTAAATCCCCACGCCTATCTTTTCCTGTTATAGACCTTGCTCTGCAACCTGTCCAGTAGATCTCTTTCTCTTTACACCACTCCCCCTCCCTCCTCTTCCTCCTTCCCTCCTGTTTTCCTCCACTCCTTCACTAGAATTACTCGGAACAACAGCAAAGGAAGGAACTATTGGATTTGCCTCATCATTACTCGAACCAGCAACAACACTTCTCTCTAACATTTTGTCCCCCACCTTCTCTGAGGCCCTTTCGTCCCTCACCTCCAACCCAATTCCTGCTTCATAGGTCTTTTTGCTTGTCACGCCATGAATCGAACCAGCATGTTCCCTCTTCAGACTGCCTACCGCCCGCAAATGCTCCTGGTCCCTGCCACATGCTCCCCTACTTTGATTTCTCAAGCTCCAGAATCTCTTTTTGATTGTTGGAATGCAAATCTACCTAGCTCCTCTTTTCTTCTTCAGCACCCCCGGTTCCTTCTTGCTCTTGTCGAGCCTCGTCACCATCGAAACCCACTCCTCTTTCAATCCTCTTTTTTTCCAGTTGTAAACTCTCCCTTTCTTTGAAACCTTCATCCATCCAATTTTTGTCACTTCTTTTCCAATAATGCCCATCCCTCTCAAAACCCCCAACCCCTTTAGCCAGTTCATTTTTCTTGAGTCTTTTTCGGATACCAGTGTGAAAAGCATTGTGTTAATGATCAAAAGGAGGGCAAGCCGCTCTCAACTCATGTACAAAAAGAGCCTATAACTATGCACAAAACATATACATTAAGGGAAAAGCATAGCAATCAAGGCAGAAGAGATCTCCATCGATTAACAAAGATATGGCCGTGGCGTCGTTCACAACCACAAAAAGCGTGGAGCTACCAGCCCAACTGATTAAACTCCTCTCAACCTTCCCTGTTTTCTTTCCTCCTGTTCAGCTTTGACCCGAAAAACCTTCTGATTCCTTTCATGCCAGATTAGCCAGCAAACAACAAAAGGCAAGCAGTTCCACAAGAACTTGCTCGTAGTTGAGAAGGAACTAACCCTCCAACCAGATAAGAGTTCTAGAAACAAGAAGGGAGGAACCCAGCAGAGCTCGAAGAGCTTAGCAAAATGGCACCACACCTGATGCGTGTAGGGACAGTGGATTAACAAGTGCTGGATGGATTCTGAGGCTGAACACCACAAACTGCAGACATTATCAATCTCCATTCCACGTCTCAAAAGAGCTTCAGCAGTTTGCACCTTCTCCCTTGCAGCCAGCCACACAAAAGGATTTTGTTCTGGAGGGAGCTTGAGCACTCCAGATCCAGGACCAAGCTACTTTTTGACCTGAGCCCAACAGAACGAAATAGCAAGACCTTGTAGAGAAACTGCCAGATTTTTCTGGATTCCAGACTCTAGCATCCTGGATGCTGTTGCCAGGCTGGATCGATTGTAAACTGCTTAGCATCGACCCTAAAACCTCCACCTCCCAATCGTTCAGGTTCCTCCAGAATCTTGGGATCCACATCACCTGACCAATAAGTAACCAGCCCAAAGAAATCATTTACAGTACTGTCTTTGTTGCAGGCTAAGGTAACAAGTGAGGGAAAAGCCTCAGCACGTGGTTGATTAGCACACCATCTATCTTTCCAGAAGGAGACCCTATTCCCGTCCCCTACTTTGTAGGAAATGTAAGATTGAAACATGGGATGTCAAGCTATTATTCCTCTCCAAATACTTGTTCCATAGGATTGTTGTGGCTGAAGGGAAAACCAATCCATAGCAATACTACTATACTTGCCTTGTATGACTTGGTGCCAGAGGCTGTTCGGTTCCTCGCCATATCTCCATAGCCACTTGCACAGAAGAACAAGCCTTACCGCCATTTCTCTGCTATGAAACATGAATAAGAACAAGCCTCCACTCAACTTTCTTACACCCATCACCTTCTCAACTCCCCACTCAAAAACCACACATGTTTCAACATTTTCTACTTCCAACTCCAAACCCACAAACCTCCCAACTAAACTTGCATGCAACACCTTCATCCTTTCATCCAACTTCCCAACTCTCCTAATGTCCAGTTGTCCACACAAACAGTCCTCTCGCAGTCACCTATTCAGACTCTTTAGGGAAGCCCACTACCCCCTACTCCTCGACCAACTCCATTGAGGGAAGCCCATCAACATAACCATGTGGATGCATGCCCTATTTTTTTCTATTATAAGAACCACTGGATTGCATCATAAGGATTTTCTGTAAAAGGATTGGGTTAAGGAGTAAATTGCAAGCATCCAGTAAACAAGGCATGTTTCCAAATGGCTATGAGGAGGTGAAAGCAGCCAACTGACTTAACTGACAACAGTACAGCCAAACATAACCCTGCCAGGCTACCTCAGTATTTTATTTTGTCAATAAGTAGTTAATAATGGGTCCAAACTTTGTTAAGTAGCATAACTATACCATGCTTGCTGTAATTCAATAGAGGATGCTAGTTTTACATCCAGTGTGCAATTTCTATTTGAATAATCATGTGGAATTGGAGTTCTGAAAGTTGCCCAGATTCAGTTCATAAGAATTAAACAAAAAATTATAACCATAAGATTAAAACAATGAGATGTTGCTCCTTGTTATTATTCAAATATCAACTCACATTTCTGAAATGTGTTTATCCAGAAGTGAGTTTGCCAGCAAAAAAACACCCTTTCGATGCTTGATGCAACTATTGACTCTGACATTGAACACATCGTTGTAACCCTAGGAAGCCTTTGCATGCAATAAATAATTGAGTAACATTATAGGCACAGACCAATTCTACTCCAAGGATGTATAAATCTAAAGGCACATCTAGAGATTTAAGTTACACTTTTTTGTCTCCAAATGTATAATTGTCAAATACAACATTATCGTACCTTAGCCAAGGAGGCATGCACTATATAAGTCCTAACAGAGGAAAATCAAAATCAAGAATTCCATCTGGAACAATAATCTACTACTCTAGGATTCATCAATATATATATATATATATAATCTACTACTCTAGGACAGATTAAAGGCAAAAGGAGTCCCACCATGATCCTTTCCAATTATACTAACAAATTACATTGATTAACGGCATGACCAATGTGAAAATGGAACAAAATTTCTTTTCAGTAATATAGAAACTACAGTTGTTTAGGAAGATGTCAATAAAAAGCAACACAGAAATTACCTAATCTTCTTCAAACGCTCCAAGTCGTCTCTCAACTTCATATCCAATGCATTCGACACCACCTGAGAATACCTCCCATCCTTGTAATCCTTCTTTCTATTCAAAAACCAGTCTGGGATTTTGAACTGCCGGGGATTCGCAACGATCACCATAAGATTCTCCAGCTCAGCTGCCGATAGCTCACCAGCCCTGCCAAAAACGAGACCAATATTTCACATAATTCCAATAAAAAAGGATCCAACCACACACACTGTAATACAGTAAGAAAACCAGAAAGTGCCCATTAAATAAGAACGACAGGAGAAGCAAACAAGAAGGAACCCATTAGTCTGACGAAGCTGAACACCAAGAAAATCTAGTCACAGAAAATACAAACTTAACCTCTTGTTCATATCGACATCAGCCTTCTTGCAGACGATATTCGCGAATCGCCTGCCAATACCTTTAATTGAGGTGAGGGCAAACATGATCTTCTGCTTCCCGTCGACATTGGTGTTCAAAACACGCAAAATGTGCTGAAAATCTTCGTTGGCAACCAGAGACTGGAATATATTCAAACAAAATTAGGCAGTTATTAAGGCAATCAAAGAAACGCATAAAAATCCAACATGAACGGGGAATCAAGCTTGTAGAGAAGGGAAAAACTCTAGTATAGCAATGTACCATTCTGTTCTGTTGGATGGGTGGACTGGAATGGACGTCTGGACCTTGGCGCCCTGGGAACGACCGCGGGAAGTAAAAACCTCAACCTCAAAGTGGGTGAACTTAGGGTTTTGGGTTGGCGTTATTATTAGTTAATGGTAAAGCACGTGGGTATTTCAATAATAATAATGATAAAGGATAAATATGTTAAACGACCCTTATGATTTAGTTAATTGATTAAGTATATTCTTATGTTTGAAATTTGACTAAAGTTAGTTTTATTATTTTTGACAATTGATTAATTCTACCTTATCGTTAAAATCTGTTAATATTCCATCAAAACTGATATATAATTTTTTTTAAAACCCAAATTTACCCTTCCTCTCCCTCTACTTATCTAAGGAATAGAATCTCGTAAAAAATAGCTCACAATTGTTCGATGGGAATCAAATCAACCAACATTGATAAATTTTCACTCGGATCACTCCATTTTTCCACACTAGAAATGTTGCTCAAAACCACCCAAATCTTTCATCCATGTTTCATCTACTCCATCTAACTTAGCACAGAAGAACTCCTTGAGTCTTTCAAGTTTCAGTCAGCAACGAATAAGAACAGAAAAGTACCTTTAGGTTTTCAAAGAAAATCAATGAAAAGTACACAAAAACTCCACTATTCTCAATGATTTTTGACTCGTTGAGATCGAGATTCTTGTCCAAGACACAAAATTGAAGTTAGTAAAAAAGAAAAATGAGATGAAACCTAGGAAAAGCTTATTAGAAGATTAGTTGCAGAGAGCTTCACAGAGAAAGAATAACAAGACTTTGAGAACGGTTGAAGCATTGATTCCTATGGAGAGTCTGATTTTGGTCAATAGAATCATTTCATGATGTTGCGAACCTTGTTCCAGCAATCTTCTTTGTTTTGATAAATGGGAACTCGGTCATCAAAAACAAGGTTTGCACAATCACAGACCAAGTTGTCATGGACCAACAATCTGTCTCTTTTTCTTCTACTTGAACAACAATCCCTCTAGCAATGAAACCTCTTCAAAATGCCTTCACACCAGCTGAGGATTGGTCGTGGCTGCCTGGGCTTCTTGCAGAAGGGTAATCTCTTTCCCTACTTTCTGATGTAAAATCCTATTTTCCACCCGATCTTGATGTAAACCCTACCATCTTCGCCACCGTTTTATATCCCCATTCATTTTCCTACAATCCCTTTTGGTTCCCTATCACCCAGTGGATAATCCCTTGTTCTATTGCAAACAAAACATCTCATCACTCCTATTTGGTTCTCCACTACCACCGACTACTCTTATCATCAAATGTCTCCTCAAGAAACATTGGTCTTTTTGAAGATATGGTCTGAAAATGGATGTTGCTTTCTATGATTCCACTCTCAAAGGTCCATTGTGGGAAGAAATTTCTAGATAAGTGTTTACTTGCTTGAAGCTTTTGATTTATTTACTGATGAGAATGGAATCACGACAACCAAGTTCCCATATGCAATTAGGTTTAGCTAGAGTGCCATAGTTATTCACAGCCATGGCAAACGCAAAAACCGAGTTCCCACCTTGGACACTTTAAGGGCATTTATTGAGGACGAATTGGAGGCATTGGAGACATTTTGGCATTGGCAGATGAGGTGAAGAGAAGAAGAGGACGCATTGAAGACATTCTGGCATCAGCAGACGAGGTGAAGAGAAGAAGAGGAAGGGTTCGTTCACGCCATGAGTTGCAGGGTCTGATGCAATTCAAGGTAATTTTGGTTTGGTTGCAGAGATCCCTCCTCTCCGTCTCCCTCTTTCTGTCACCGACGACCTTTAGTGAGAGAATGAGAAGGAGCTTTCTGTTGCTGATGACAATTTTGTCTGCTGTGAGTCCTCGATTTCCACCGACAACAACGTTTAGCGCAAAAGTGAAGAGGAGCTTTCTGTCGCCAACAACGATTTTGGCCGCTATAAGTCCTTGATTTTTGCCGTCAATGACCTTTAGCATGAGAGTGAAGAGGAGCTTTCTGTCGCCGATGGCGATTTTGGCCGTTGCGAGTTCTCGACTTCTGCCGATGACGACCTTTAGCGTGATAGTGAAGAGGAGCTTTCCGTCGCCGACAAAGATTTTGGCCGCTATGAGTCCTCAATTTCTACCGCCGATGACCTTTTAGTGGAAGAGTGAAGAGTAGTTTGGGAGAGATGAAACCTTCCTGCTGAAAATCAATTAGGAGGGCAAAATGGACATTTGACTTTTTCATCCATGCTTAATGATTCTTGGAAGATTTAGAAAATTATCAGAAACAGTAAGGGTAGCGTTAGTTACTTTTCAAACAATAAGGGCCCATTTAATCAATTAGTTAAACCATAAGGGTAGTTTAAGAAATTTATCCAATGATAAATTACTCTGAAACCTAAACTTTCAAATACTAATGATAAATTATGACCATGGGAAGTCAAAACCTCAACCTCAAAACTTTGCCTTCGTCTTTCTGCATTTAACACTTTAGGGTCTGTTGCAAAGAGTGTAAATTAGGTTGCATTTGGAAACGATGCAAATAAGTGCTAATGCAAGTATGTAGAGTGTAATGGATGCAAACACGAATTCCAATAAAGTATATGTTTTTTTTATCAAAAGCCCACTTGAAAGAAAATTTATTTCCTTTTTATTGAGGTACTTTTACATCTTATTGTCAATGTAAATATGCATTGGTCTGTCATTTGTCAATGCATAAATGTAATGTTGCCAAACACAGGCAAAAGTGAACCATAGTGCAAATTTACCATGAACCGGGATTTACACTCCATTTGCATCGTTTCCAAACGCAATCTTAAGTGTAAAAATCTTAGGAATTTCTCAATTAGTAACCTGTGCTTTGGGAACTGGCTCTAATTAATTCGATGAGAAATGAGAATGGGAAGATTAAATGTCAATTACTATTTTTGAGAACTTACTTTAATTAATCTATGTAGTAATAGGGCTAGCAATCTTGACCCCAACCCATTTGACCCACCCAACCCACCCACCTTGGAACCCACCCATACCACCCAATCTATTAGCAGGTCAATATTGGTTGAATAACCCATTAGGGTCAATGGAAAAGGGTCAGGGTGGGTTGGGTCAAAGGTACCCATTAGGGTTAAGATGGGTTGGGTCAAAACTATCTCTATCTATACTCGCCAAATCTCAAAAATAAAAAAAAAAAGAACTATTGAAGTAACTCGAACTCAAACCTCCTAACGTGTTTATATCTCATTAGAATTCTAAACCATCATGCCACATTTTTATTTTTAGATTAAAAGTGAAATAAAATAGATTTTATTAACTTTCATATTCACATGCAATGTTACACAAAAAGCACTTCTACAAAAACAACTTTATAAAGTAATTTTATGAAAAGGACTTTTACGAAAGCACTTTTACAAAAGTACTTTTATATGAAGCACTTTTGTGAAAAGCACTTTTACGAAAGTACTTTTACACGAAAACACTTTATGAAAGTACTTTTATGAAAGCATAAAAGCAATTTTATAAAAGTACTTTTATGAAAGCACTTTTATGAAAGCACTTTTATGAAAGCACTTTTATGAAAGTACTTTTACAAAAACACTTTTATGAAAGCATATAAGCACTTTTACATGAAAGCACTTCTATAAAAGTACTTTTACGAAAGCATAAAGCACTTTTAAAAAGTGCTTTAACGAGAGCACTTTTACGAAAGTACTTTTATGAAAGCACTTTTACGGAAATACTTTTATAGAAGTACTTTTGTGAAAGCACTTTTACAAAAGCACTTTTATAAAAGTTATGCATTTTTTGCTTTTCTGCAATTTTTTTGCTATTTTCTACATTTTCTGTAATTTTTTATATTTTTCTACATTTTTGCAGTTTCTAGTATTTTTCTACATTTTCTAAAATTTTTTGGTGCTTTAATGCATATTTTTTTTGTATTTTCTAGTGTTTTTCATGCATTTTCTGCAATTTTCTAGTATTTTTGCATTTTTTTTTTACTTTTTCTACAAAAGTTTTGAATTTTCTACAAATTTTAGTTTGTTTTTGCATTTTTCAAAAATTTCTATTTTTTGTATTTTTCTGAAAATTTTTGAAATTTTTAATATTTTTAATTCTTGCAATTTCTATTATTTTCTACATTTATCTACAATTTTTACATTTTTGGGTATATGGGTTGACTTGACTCGTTTTTGCCATGTGATAGTCTTGAGAGATTATTCTCTCAAAAGTTATTATTTCGGGTATATGGGCTGTCCCGACTCATTTTTGTATTTATAGGTGAGGATAGGTGAGTTAGTATGGGTGATGGTGGTTAAGGATCTATATGAATAGGTCAATTGGGTCAATAGGAGTGGGTTAGGTGGGTTAGAGTTAGGATGGGTTATGACCCTTTAATAAGGATTGATGATGGATCAATGATGGATTGGTGGGTCAATATCAAATATGAATGAGTTGATATTCAACCCTTACCCAACCCAACCCAATCCACCTATTTGCCACCATGTGATACGACAGTTTATGCACGAGTGAGATGGCGATCTAATAAACCAACTCGTCTGCAAGTTGAATACCGACGATGTAACATGCACGAGTGAGATTGATAATTCTAGAGAGGTCGTTAGATTAAGGTGAAAGTCACCATTTTCGAGAGAACTCAATGGTGCTATCCAAGGTTTTTAAAAAGGAATCGGAAATAGAACCGATCAGGGGACCGGTTTCCTGTTAAGCGGTTCAACCGTCCGGGTCGAATGGTTCGACCTATGACATCATAAATAAATTAAAAATAAAAATATATTTATAAATAATAAAAAATAGCATAAAATTAAATAAAAAACAGAAAAAATGCAGAAAAATACAAAAAATAAAACTATCTAAATACAAAAATATTACAGTACAAAACACATAGAAAATATAAAAATAAAATACTCTTACCAAAAAAATATAAAAATAAAATACAGAAAAATTCTAAAAAAATACATAAAAACACAAAAAATATAGAAAAAACAAAACTATCTAAATACAAAAATAACAAATACATAGCAAATAGAAAATACAAAAAAAAAGTATAAAAACATTCTAAAAAATACAGAAAAAACACCAAAAATTACAAAAAATAAAGATAAATTAGGA